AGCTCCAACTTAGTCTCACGTAATGACTGACGGCAGAAGGTCTGGACTCAATAGCAGCTTTCATTGGCCCAAGAAGCCATTTGACTGACATGCAAAGCAACCAATCTCACTTTTTGTTTAGAAATGTGAAAATGTAAAGCTGATGTTCCTAACAATGTGACGCACAAACATTGACACAGCTGTAAAACAAGATGGCATTCTTCTTCTATTGAAAGGGTTTTGCATCAGAAGAACAGCTTTGTTTCTAGGAGGACCATTAAATAACACAACACACTCATCTCCCAGAAATCCTGTAGAATTCAAATCAGTTCACGACTTTGAACCTCTCAAAGTGTTTCCAGTTTCGTGTGCCTTATGCATCAGGACCCATATTCACAAAACATTTTATCTTACCACTAAGAATTCTCCTAAATAGCAGTAAAAAAATGTATCAAAAGTTTTCTCTTAAAACCTATTCACAAAGCTGCTAAGACAAACTTTTACTAATGAATAGAGAGAAGTCTTAAGTTAAGAGTAAGGGCGGGGTTGACCTTGTTGCTATGGATGATGTCAGCATTCTTACTAACTATGCACTTACTAGAAACTTACTAGAAATGGAAATACTGCCAGTGCTCTGGATGGAGAAATTGACAAATGTATTAAAAGATGGCTGCAACTGGCATCTGATAGGGATGGAGGAAGAAGAGAGAGGGCCCTAAAACAAACTAATTCTTCCTAAGGTATGTTCCAAATCTTGTTACTATTTACCATTGAGATCTCTTTGACTGACTAACCTTCTGCCATTGTGTGTCCCCTCTTTATCTCTCTTTCTGCCATTCTGCAGGAATACCTCTATTAGGACTTGCTTGCAGCCCAGAGATTTCAAAGCATTTTTAATTATCATAATTATTTATTTATTTATTTTTATTAAAAAAAATTTACATTTGCACTTGCATTTTGTTCTTGTCACTTTTCCACAATGCACTGAAATAAATTCTCATATTTCTTATATTTACATGGTGTCATTTTCACTTGGGGGAAAAGAACACATGGATGTCATGGGTTTGGCATGGAGTAATACTGCAAGGTGCCAAGAAAAAAGAGAGGGTAAAAGGGCCAAACCTTGTAAGCTTGACATATTTTCACAATTCTTATGGCCAATATAAACTAATTTTAAGCATATAGTCCGCTTCTGTAAAATGTTTAGTGTTACTACAAGAATCTCTTGAAAGTGGAGGGTTGTTTGAGCTCACCTAAAATATGAGTTGAAGTCTTGTACCTGCAAAGATGACTTGTGACTGTCACAAATAGTTACAAGCCAATCATGGTAAAACACAACACCTACAGTACAAAAGCGTGACACTTAAAGCCTGTAAAAAAGCTTCCATTCTGAAGTTTAACTTTTGAAACTGGATAGATAAATGATAGATAACTGTTATTGTAATTAAATATCGGCAGTGTCGGCTCAGTTTCGGCACCCGGACTCGGGCCAGTACCGGTTAATTGTATAATCTGTGCTGGCCTGATTGTGGCCCGATGCCGGCAGCGTTGGCTCAGTTTCGGCACCTGGACTCGGGCCAGTACCGGTTAATTGTATAATCTGTGCTGGCTTGATTGTGGCCCGATGCCGGCAGCGTTGGCTCAGTTTCGGCACCTGGACTCGGGCCAGTACCGGTTAATTGTATAATCTGTGCTGGCCTGATTGTGGCCCGATGCCGGCAGTGTCGGCTCAGTTTCGGCACCCGGACTCGGGCCAGTACCGGTTAATTGTATAATCTGTGCTGGCTTGATTGTGGCCCGATGCCGGCAGCGTTGGCTCAGTTTCGGCACCCGGACTCGGGCCAGTACCGGTTAATTGTATAATCTGTGCTGGCTTGATTGTGGCCCGATGCCGGCAGCGTTGGCTCAGTTTCGGCACCCGGACTCGGGCCAGCGTATTCGGGCCGATTCTGGCGCGTCATTCATTCCCGTGATTCACACGAGTCCGGCAACCGCATCTTTGGGCCGTTATCGGGCCAGATCTTTTTGGCTACCAGGGGAGCGGCTCCGGTGTAGAAGACTGGATCTAAAACGTTCAGATGACACACAGCTCATGTCACTGAAAGTTACTGAAACCACACATGAAAACACGCAACACACGGTAAACATGCGTTTGTGCGGCAGAGCGGCTCCCTCTCGCACTGTATGATGTGACTGTTCCGTTCACACAGCGCGTGTTCCGAGAATGCAGTTGTAAGTCCTGAACATGTTCTGGTGTGAGCTCGGTTATAGAATTCGGTTGTCACGCCTGAAAATAACCGTACCATGTGTGAACGTAACCGTATTAAGTTCAAGTTCAAGTTCAATTCTTCCACATGTACAGCACATACACACAGAGAATTGAAATTGCGTTACTCTCAGACCCTTGGTGCATACAGATAACATAAATACAGATTAAATACAAAATACAACTATACAAATATACAAATAAGGTCAAATGTAAATATATATATATATAAAGCACAAGGCATATGGCAGATAGAGTGCAAACCAGTAAAGTAAACAACAGTGCAGATATAATGATTGTAGTGCAAAAAAATTATTTGTAGTGCAAAAGAGCTTATTCAGACTGATTAAAGTGGCAGTGTGTGTGTGTATTTGGGAGGGGGGAGTGGGAGAGTCCGTTAGAGGGTCAGAGTTCAGTGGTGCGTGGGGCAAAAAAGGGGAGGGGGGGGCAAGGTCGGGAGGGAGTTCAGCTTCCTGACAGCCTGATGGATGAAGCTGTCCTTAAGGACTCAAGTACAGGCCTGACAACCGTCTGCTGCTGTGTGAACGTAGCCAGAAGAGACTGGTCGATTACACGTGAAATAATGTTGATTTTTTTACTTCTAATGTTTGTTAAACGAGTTGAAATATAGTCGATATGTATAGCCTTAAAAACGATATAAACAATGCTGTAAATGAAATATCATACCAACTGTGGTGTTTGTGTGGAGTATATTTGACACAAGTTTAGAGGATTTAAGTTAATCTGTAAACATTATTTCATATAATGTAAAAAAATAAATAAAAAAAATAGTACTATAGTAAAAAATGAATCAACCCATTAGCTGGGTTAAATAAACAACTTATTTTCTGAGTAAAATTAACCCAACATGTGTTCTGTCCTATATTTACCCAGCCCTTGGGTTAAGCCCCAAATTGGGTTGTTTTCAACCCAGTGTTATTGTTTTTTTAGTGTATGTGGACTGAAAATGTGTAACTGTAACTTGATCAGTTTGGATTTTTGTACTAAGAGTTTTGAAAATGTAGGGGAGACGAGGGATGGTTGTAACATTTTTGGCATTTCTATCTGTATCTTGGAGCTCTTTTAAGCCAGTGCATTCTAAGTGTGATACATATAGTTGCAAGTGCTATTACATGACGCAGCTGTTATATTTGCAGCACAAACAGAAAATGAATGGTTTAGTTTCAAACACGAGGAGTGAAATGTTACAATTCACCTCATAGTCTGGGTTAGTTTTAACATACCATACGGGATTATGACCAAAAAAATTGATTTTGAAAATTCTTTTTATTTTATTCAACACCGACTTTTCAACATAATCAGTGTGCGTGTGCACAAGCATGTTTCTGTCAATGTAATGGCAATTGGCCATAATAAAAGTGAAGTTGAACACTTTAATTGAATTGTTTGTGTGAGCATTACTGTCAGTTATAATTGAAAATGCTGAGACATCACTCAGTTTGTCTTTCTCTTCCAAGATTTAGCCATACTGAAATTAGTACTTTATAGTACTGATATAAATTAGTATTGATACTAGTTTAAAATCAAAAGTAGTCTTGACATTCCCAACAAGACTGAAGAGGAATACGGGAGAAACATTGTGCCATGAATGAAAAAGTTAGAAATCCCCAAATTACCATCCTTACAAACATTTACCATGGATGTACTGTAGCAACATTAACTCGTGTTTTAGGCGAAATATTATATATTCAATTGGAATGCTATATTATTAATATAGTCATGCAATTTGTAAATGTATAGGGGAGTAAGGGAATATAATTATTTTTTGTTACAAAACTATGACAGTTTGTGTGTGTGCGTGTAGTTTTTACCAGTGTTTAAACTGCTGTTTTTTTTATATATATAGTTTTATAGAAACCTTAACATTAATTATAGTTACATTTAACCATGGTAGCCATGCATTAACAACTCAGTCAAAATACTTTAGTTTAACCCTATAAAAATTGTTAACCTTAGATGTTACTGTTGGTAATATTAGTTCATTTTACTGCTGAATATGCATTTTAATTTGTTAGGCCCCCCCGGAAGGAGATTGGGACAGGCCCCCACCCCCTTGCCCCCCTCTTCTACTTTTCAATTTGATAATCCGCCCCCAAATGAAGCTAACTGAATAGCCCTGATATAAATTATGAAAACAGGGGTGCGTGATACATTGCATGGAAACCACCAAATATGGTTCAGTGTTCATGATTGAAAAAAATGTTTTGCACATTTTTGTGACTAATCAGAATCACGTAATAATCCATAGTGCTTTGTAATAAAATGGGTGTTTAACTTCTGAGAAAGTTCAAATCTGAAAATCGTAGTACTCAACAAATAGTCGTTAAAATAAACTTTCAAAACTCAGACATGTTAGTTATTTGGATATAATCAACCAAACGCAGTTTTGTTACCAACAATCCTAAATTAACCAGGTCATTCATTGTGTGACCTGATATTTGTTAGGTGCATATTGTTCCCTGCCATTAAAATAGCTTTAGCAAAATGCATTAGTCACCTATAGGGATTACAGCGAAATTTGAGAACAGTTTGATAATTTCTGCTAAATGAAAAACTTTAAATTACTGGGTAAAAAAATCCAGAAACTTGATTACTAAACACTGCCTTCATTGTTAGAAGGTACATGTGAAAACCATGCAAGCATAACATAGAATTTAGATGAGAATACTGTAACTACCGAAAGGCAGTAAAACGATGAAGGTATCTTTATTGAAAAGCAAACAAAACTCGCATAAAAAGGTCAGTGGAAAAGAAATCGGGGAGGAAATAAAATCAACATTTATCACATTTCACCAGGAGACACTAGGGCAGGGTTTGGAATTGAATGTTGGTTTCAAGAAAGATGGACATTTTAAAACCGTCCAGAGCGTTCTCTATCTCTTGACCTCCGTCTCTCTCGCTCTCTTCCTCCTCCTCCTCCTCCTCCTCCTCCTCTATTGCGTTCCCTTGAGCGAGAACGACGTTCACGGGAACGTGAACGGGAGCGATGCCTGTATAGAACAAAGAACAAGCTTACTAACCTGTCCAAAACCAGTCCATTTATACAGTAGCTTTCAAACATTTGGAATGAGTAAACTTACTTTAAAAAAATAAAAAATAAATACTCTATTCAGCAAGAATGCATTAAATTGATCAAAAGTGACAGTAAAAACATTTATACGGTTTCAAATAAATGCAGTTCTTTTTAACTTTCTATTCATCAAAGAATCCTGAACAAACATGCATCACAGTTTCCACAAAATATTAACTGTTTTGAAAAATGATAATAGCAGGGCTCAACGATGGTTTTTTACTTGCCTTTCCACAAAAATAAAAAAGTTTTTTTTACCCATGTTATCTAATAAATGAGCATATAGGATACCAAAATTTCAATTAAAAACAATTACAATTCTCAATTCCAATTCCACAGCAACTACTAGCCTAAAGAAATATAAAGTTCAAACATTATTAAAGACAAGTGAACAGATGGTAAATAAGAACAAATTAACAAATTACAAGCAATAGCACAAACAAAAAGAACAAACCACTATGCTTTAGGTTTGTATGTGTTCAGGAACAGTGTTTCTTTTTTATTATTATTTACATTAAGGACACCGACAGCAGCTGCGGTCACTTTGAGACAATGCATGGATCAAATATAATAATACACATCCGACTTCTTTCTCAGATGTTACTTACGACATAACTGACCGCTTTCGAGGATACTCGCCGAGACCGGTATTTTGACATACTTTTGTATGTATTTGTCCATTAAAGCTCAAGATGACGTGGAAAGAAACACAATACGAGGCTTGGGCGATAACTGAGACGGGGCTGCCTGTGTGTGCGCTGTGCACACAGAACACACTGAATGGAGTTGCTATTCACATCTTCTAGCACTTGAACGATTTAAAATATCTTGAACGTTCAAATTGGCAAGGTGTATTTTTCTGTTATAAAGCGCAGCTCTCTATGTGCGCGCTGTGCATACACAACACAGCACGTGAGTACTGAATATAGTTGTCTGTAGCGTCTTTGTGCCCTTGAATGCTTTAAAATCACTTGAATTTTTTAATTGGCGAGGCTTAAAAGACGTGTAAATGATAAACATTCATGACAAATCTGTCAACTATTACACATCTTTCACCCTGGCCATCAGGCAGTCCTTATTGTCGAGCCCTAAACAGGATATGTTTCTAGAGCAGCAATCAGCATCTTAGAATGATTTCTGAAGTATCATGTAATGCTGAAGACTGGAGTAATGATGCTGAAAATTTAGCTTTGCATCACAGGAATAAATGACATTTTAAAATAGATTTAATAGAAAACAGTTATTTTAAATTGTAATATTATTTCACAATATTTAGTGGCTTTTATTTGCAAGCAGATCGACACAAGTGTTCTGTAACAATCTTTATGCTTTTGAGTTTTAAATCAGACAGACCTCTTCCTCCTGCGACCATACAGATCTCTTCGGAGTTCCCTTGAGATTGGCTTCAGGTGCATGAAGTTGCAGAAGCCTCCTCGAGTGCACTCTCTGCGGGAACACACAAGTACTGCAGTCAGTCACAGTGAAGCCAGTGGAACACAGTTTAAGAAAACAACACTATTTCAGTACACACCTTCACCTGAATCAACAAATCATGTACAATGGGACAGTTGCTCAGGCTTAGGCACCAGGTATCAGTAAACATCAATTTGAAGAGGGAAGAGAGGTAAACATACATCTGGGAATGCTGCATTAGAGTGTGCGGGAAGGGAAGATGTGCAGCACTCTCTGATGCTTGTTCAGTCACTTACCCCATTTCATACTGTCGACAACAGGCCTCTCTGAAATCGGTGACAGGTGAGAGCTCAGCATGGATGGGCTGGCCATTAAACCAGCGGTTATTCAAGTTAATCACCGCTTTCTCTGCATCTTCTTCACGGCGGAACTACACACAAAAAAAGCAAAGTTTTAGTTGTTTCTCTGCTGCACTAAGGGGTGTTTTTAAGCACAAAGATGCATTTAACCATGATAAAACAGCCTCAAGCTGATTACTGCTTTTATACAATGGTGGCAAAACTAAAAAGATTACAAAAACAAATTTCCACAAATTACTTTTAATAATAATAATATCATATGGGTATGAGTTGCCAAAAAAAAGTACCAAGTAACCCTAGCTATAACAAAATGGCACACACAACTGTTAAAATGTACAGATAGATTTAACTGTTGAATCACAAATTCTAAGTTTGGACCATTACAAATTCAACAAATGTCAAAGTTTTAAATAGTAAATTAAATTAACAAATTATTATTACAACGTAAATACACTGCAAATTCTCTCACCTTCACATAGACATTTCCCACCAAGTGATCTCCTAAATTATCACACACATTCATCTCCTCAACCTCTCCATATTTCTCCTCCATTTCAGCGAAGACCTCCTGTAAACAATGAATTTAAAGCCATATTGGAGCATAAAATCTGCAATTTGTGATTTTTAGCCTAAAAATACAACTGATGCAACAAACAGGGCCAAACTGTATCGCCTATATCTGTCCCATCATTCTGAAAGAATAGCTGTCATAAGACATGCACCACCATTCAAAAGTTTGGAGTTGGGAAGATATTTCAATGTTTTTGAAAGAAGTCTCTTAGGCTCACTAAGGACGCATTTATTTGCTCAAAAATACAGTAAATATTGTGAAATATTACTATTTAAATTTTAATATATTTTAAAATGTAATATATTCCTGTGATGCAAAGCTGAATTTTCAGCATCATTACTCCAGTCTTCAGCATCTACTCCAATCATCTTCACATGCTCCTTAAGGAATCATTCTAATATGCTGATTTGCTGCATAAGAAACTACATATTTTTGTAGAAACCATGATACATTTTTACAGGACTTTTTGATGAACAGAAACTTAAAAAAAATAAATAAATAACAGCATTTATTTGAAATATAAATATTTTGTAGCAATTAAAGATGATTTAAATTTCCTAAAAAACAAAAAAACTGAGCCCAAACTTTTGAATGATAGGCACGAGGTTATATCCACAGCAGCCATTTTTCTTGAAAGAAACTTTACTCCTTACAACAGCAATATCTAGCCTATGAAATAATGTAGAAAAGAGCACTAGAAAATGATGATTCATAATAGAAATGTCCGTGGTTTGAACTTTGAACTCAAGCTTGGAAAAGACTATTTTGAAATTCCCTAATACTCCCATTGCTTCTCTGATTGTGTTTAACGGCTTGAATCAGTTACATTAAAGGGGTCATATGATGTTGCTAAAAAGAACATTATTTTGTGTATTTGGTGTAATGAAATGTGTTTATGCGGTTTAAGGTTAAAAAAACACATTATTTTCCACATACTGTACATTAATGTTTCTACTCTATGCCCCGCCTTTCTGAAACACATCTTACAAAGCTCATCGGTCTGAAAAGCGAGGTGTGCTGTGATGGGCAAGCTATCCAGTGCGCTGTGATTGGCCGAATACCTCAAGCGTGTGACGGAAATGTTACGCCCCTCACCATACTGTGATACCCTGTCCGGCCGGAGCGATGATTCAAAAACATGAAAACCCATTATAAACGAGGCATTCGTTGCATCCAGTGGGGACATAATTACTGATTATAATGACTTATACTGTCTTTTTACGCATTGCATCGCGCCGCTTAAACATAAAACCATGTCTGCATTTGTGATCAGAGAAATGACAAACAA